TCCTATATGTTTTTTAAAGCCTTTCACTCCCTTCTACAATTCCACAAAAAGGGAGTAACTCGTGTTTGGAACACTTTGAATGTTTCTTTTAGTCGCAAAATACCACAAATGAAAATTATTGTCAACCTTGTCGATATTTTTAGATGCAAATCTATACCTAATACATTAAATAGATAATAAGTGTAGAATAAAGACCTAGATAGAAAATTAAAGTTTTACATCAGGACTTTTTAGTACCTAAACTGAAACTAAAATCATCTCGGGCAGAGATTATAGCTTTAAAGTATACACAGTAACACCTTAACATAAATGTCATTAGGAAATAAAGTGTTCCACACAAGCAGGTAAGGCACAACATAGGGATTACCCCCTTAAAATGAGGCTTGGGCTAAAAATCTTTCCAAAACTTACTGTGGAATTCTTTCTTAATTAAACAAAGCACCCCAAACACAGCCCACTGTAAAATGCAGTACGGACAGTACCATGCTTCACTGAGCCCAGTTTGTGTTCCTATGTTATTGTAGGTTTCCATTTTCTTTTGTGGGGGTGCTTCCAATTGTCCTTTTCTTGTCGACTCTTGGCAAGCCGTTCTGAGATTTGGTGCCCACGAAAAGGCCTATGTATACAGTCTCGGTCTAAGGGATACCTGAGCCAAGCCTGGGTGCTGCTCAAAGACTTTCTCTGTACAACTGCTCATTTTCTGTCCTGTTCCAGATAGCTGAGACTGATAAATGATCTAAAAAATGTTACCATACCCTAATTTCCCAACCACTGCAGCATATTCGTTAGGGTTCAGAACATATCCACACATGTGACTAAAAGCCACTAGGATTTCAAACATCTGTATTGAGTTCACAATTTTTCAGAACTTTTTTCTTTGGAGAATAGCACTTTTTACTAAACCATAAACACCATTTTCAAAGAAATTTCCAAACTCGATGTAAAAGCAATATTTATAGGCATATCAATAAACCAGTAGCAGTCACCAGAAAATTTTTCAATTTCTTGCAAATTTTTCTTTGTACCTACAGCCTTAATTTTTTTTCCTATACATTTTACCTTTTTTGGCCCCAAGCCTGTGCTCAGAATTACTTTAAATCTTCATTATGAAATTAAAGATAGCAAAGTATATGAGCAGAAACAACTATCCTGCTGGTTACAGATTATTCTATTTGATTCAAGAGTCAGTTAAACAATCATGCTGATTTGTAAGGGCAAAGTGATATGTGAATCTTTTCTTTAAAAGGTGGTCAGGAGCAACTTTTAAATGATGGCAATGGGTATAGCCCCTTGATGTATGTATACATCAAAAGGCATATACAAATTTCAGTAGAATGCCCACATTTAAATGCTTTTAAAAAGTACAATATACCACTTGACACTTGCCTAGAAGCAGCCATAATTATTTCGAACCAGAGGCACCATATAATACACATGCATTACAAGTAACATAAACCCCATAAGGGGTACCTCTATAGACCTGGAAGTATGTTATATGTACATATAACATGTTTTTAAGTGAAACAGAACTAGTCCCTAGAATACAGGCAAGTACATTTCAGGTACTGTGTAACCATGCAAAGATGCACCTCTGTATTACTTACATATTCTTTATGAATACAGAAATCAAAGTATGTGAACTCAGAAAAACTTGAATGCTGTGGGTCTTTGCTGGTAACTTCTACTTTCATCCTGAATTTTTTAAAAAAGGTCTTGTTTGGGGGCACCTGGGTGGCTCAGTCAGTATAGCGTCTGACTTTGGCTCGGGTCATGATCTTGCAGTTTGTGAGTTCAAGCCCCATGTCAGGCTCTCTGCTGTCAGCTTGGGGCCTGGAGCCCACTTCGAATTCTGTGTCTGTCTCTACCTTTTCCCTTCTGGTTCTCTGTCTGTCTCTCTCTCTCTCAAAAATAAACATTAAAAAAAATAAAAAAATAAAAAAGGTCTTGATTTGCAAAGACCATTTCCTTATGTTCAATTTGCAAGTTAAGAAGCATTTACTGTCTAAAAATCCAGAATAAGTAATTAAATAGAACTCAGATGTAGTTTGTTTTAATTGCTTAAATCATTTTTACAACATAAGGTAACTTGACATTTTAAAGCAATTACAATTATATTCCAAAGAAATGCTATGGTGCTTTTCACATTCTGCCTGCAAAATGGCAATCATTTAAAAAGTAATTTTTATATCAAATACCAGATCTATCCCATATAGACTATTTTAAAAATCTCCTAAGAAATTGTCCAGGGCAGGGTCGGGAGGGGGGTGCAGCAGGGGGCGTGTAACAAAAAAAAAAAACCCACAAAAGGTATTATATAAAATAAGTTATTTAGAAATACCCGGGCCTTGGGGCGCCTGGGTGGCTCAGTTGGTTGAGCATATGACTTTGGCTCAGGTCATGATCTCACATTTTGTGAGTTCGAGCCCCATGTTGGGCTCTGTGCTGTCAGCTCAGAGCAAGGACCCTGTTTTGGCTTCTGTGTCTCCCTCTCCCTCTGCCCCTCCCCAGCTTGCACTCTGTCTCTCTCTCAAAAATATATAAACACTAAAAAGAAAAGAGAAAAGAAAGGAAGGAAGGAAGGAAGGAAGGAAGGAAGGAAGGAAGGAAGGACAGAAAGACGAAGGAAGGAAGGAAGGAAGGAAAGAAAGAAAGAAAGAGAAAAGAAAGAAAAGCAAGAAAAGAAAGAAAGACAGAAAGACGAGGGCCTTAAAAGGAAGAAGAAAAAAACAAAACAAGAATTTTCTGGCTTCAGATACATTCATTAAAAAACAAGCAAGGCAGGGAGGATGCAATGAGAGAGCACAGGTAATTTTAAAAGACATTGTCTAGAAACTAGAAATGAGGAGAAAACAACCTCAATGCTCTATGATTACCCAAGAACGGGTTTAGCCAGATGAACAAGTCTACTACAAACCCTCCCCAAGGCATTTGAGAAACTATCAAACAAAACTTTATTAAACTGGATTACATGGTCTCATTCATTAGATGTCGATGGCCACGCATTTATGATCAGGTGAGCATGGGACCCTAACTAGGCCTGGGTCCTCTTTTTTAGTTTGATTTTATTAGTAAGGGCATTGTTAAGACAGCTCGCTATTAAATTTCTTTGCCAGCAGGTCAAGTTCCAGAATCCCAGCTATAAGCATTCCGAGCACTAAACCCTGACAAGGGTTGTAAGGCCATTCAGATACGCTCGGACTACATCCCTGCAATAAGCAGTTGATTACAGCATGATATGCAATTGCACTCCTTTTATTAGGAGACTTTAACCTCATGAAAAACACATTCCCTCCTTCCTATCTCCCATTTCAAGGACTTTCAAAGAAGAAAAAAACAGTAGTTCAAATGTCTCAAATTTATTTCCATTTCCCATGAATCAAAATCCAGATAAAAATTCATTTTCAATGTTTCCTTCTCTAATATAATATTTATTCTATAAGTGGCTATTTTAATATTTCTATATGGAATGCTTTCTTGGCCATCATTTGCATTTGAAAACTTCAGACTGAGTTTATTATAAGCTTGATGGCTATTTGTTGAACTATAAATATAATTTCTACTCCGAGCTGCTTATGTAGGGTCTTCCCTTTTATATAACCACCTTGTCTATATCTAAAAACTTCAGGCCAAAACAACCCATACATTTCATTGATAAACACCATGAGATGTCTTTTCTTTAAAAGCAATTTCTCAGAAAGTCCTGGAATCTACAGTTGTTGCCAACACTATTTAGATTTTAATAAGTACTGTTTATCACTGAGATATCAAGTAATACTTCCTTACATGCATACAAAATGTCTGCAGCCATAGTCCTCCCAGTCCTGTATCTCAGCACTGACCTTTGTTCAAAGGCTTTTACTTTTTAATGCAGCAGTTAGAGATAACTACTTCATTTATCAAAACTCAATTTCCATAGTAACATCTAGCCTGGGGAGATTCAAGTCCTCTCACACTAATCCAACGACCCATTCAAAGGAACTGTTGAATACTTTGGTTTCCATAGCAATGATGGAATAAAACATTTTGCTAGGTCATTGCTTTTATTAGCAAACTTATTCTTTGAACTTTAGGTAAGGCTGAATTTACTGAGAGAACAAAATAACAATCATTTTGTGTAAGTTCTTTCCTTCAGGGTTGGCCTTTTCAGAAAACCACAAATAGTTAATCACCTATATATTTGAAAACATTTTGGGTATTTGGAAGCTTTTTAAGCATGCCATGTAGTTTTGTCCTAAAATGGGTTCTAAAATACAGTTTTAAAATTAAAAAGCACTTAAAAGTGATTGTATAGGCCCGACAAAACCAACATTTATAAAATTAAAGTGACTAAGCTTAAGAGCACATTCTAAACAAGGATGAAATATAAGCCAGAATAAAGACACAGTCCCAAATACCTCAAATATGGGCTGGCACAGGGTGCAGAAGAACTTTTAAACCATGACCCCATCTTTGCCTGGCTTTAATACTCTGCAGTTTCTGCCCTACCTTTCATTCATCAACCACAGAAAACAAGCTAAACAAAAACTCAAGGTTAAAGGTGAAATTAAAGACACTGTATTAAGCAGTTATGCTTCACGTGCTAAATGGAAAAGTTTTCAGCATTGAATATAGCTTAGGGAACTATACAGAACTATATAGCTTATGGACTGCTTTGTTATGGAGGAAAGAAAATGAGTTACATTTTTTTCCTTCAAGACAGGAATAGCAGTGCCATTAAAGTTTTAAAATCCATTAGTAAACATCATTGTTTACGTTTTCAGGTAATTAATTCTACGTGAGGTGACAGGGCAAGGCCTTGCTAAGGGAACATCAGCCTTCCTGGAACCAGACTTTTCTTCATGGAACTGAATTCTGAGCCAAGCCAGTGCTGAAAAGGTAGGCCATTAAAAAATAAAAGTTGACAGAAGAAAGAAGAGATCAAACACGTGTTGGCTTTTAAAAGGATGAATACCACTTACACTATTTACACAACTCACAGAATTAACAAGAAAATTACATACCAGTATGAGTCCTCAGGTGAGCTTTTAAATGAGAAGACTTTGTATAAACTTTTGTGCAGCCTGAAATAAAGGAGAGAAAGAACAGCTTGTCATTTCGGAGATCCTTTTGAAATCTTTACATTTGATGATTCAGTGTTTAAAATCTGGCTTTAAAGAAGAAATCTCTCATGCTAGAAGATATTTGAAGCGTCAGTTTTAAAAGACGTTTTCAAGAGTGCTCCCCTGTTACCTTATTAAAGGTATAAAGTGATTTACTTTATGTACCACTTTAACAGGAAGAGCAGATAATCAAGTGAGCTACACATGGGAAATTTTTGTTTATATTACAGTAGGTGCTTTATACTAGTAACATATACTTCAGCGATTTAAAAACTTTTAATGGCTCTAGAGCAGACAATGTTAAACCATTATCCAAGATGACTGCAATTTTCTGTACTACTACATTTCTTGTTTTTTCATTTAGTATATCATGCTGTATTGTGTACCATGGTCAATAAATTATACCCTGTATTAACCATAAACTAGCTTATGCCAGCAACGTGTAGATAAAGTCATTACCATCATCAATTTATGTTTTGGGCCACATCTCATTCAAGAACAAGCGTACGCTCATATGCTAACAGAACCATCCTTAAATCAGTTCTGTAGAGAGTCCTGTAAACTGCCATCATGAGAGCAGCCTATTCATTCCCCACTTCATTACCATGCTTTATTTTCTCAACTTAATCTCTTTTCAGGGAACTTAATTTAGAATCGAAATTCCAATTCAGGTGTTTAAACAAAGGAACTCTGGCCTAACTCAAAATGCAAAATTTTGTTTAATATTAAAAATAAAGAAGTCCAGGGGCGCCTGGGTGGCGCAGTCGGTTAAGTGTCCGACTTCAGCCAGGTCACGATCTCGCCGTCCCTGAGTTCGAGCCCCGCGTCAGGCTCTGGGCGGATGGCTCAGAGCCTGGAGCCTGTTTCGGATTCTGTGTCTCCCCCTCTCTCTCTGCCCCTCCCCTGTTCATGCTCTGTCTCTCTCTGTCCCAAAAATAAATAAACGTTGAAAAAAAAAAATAATAAAGAAGTCCAAAGTAACTTTTTTCCAGAATATCCTAGCCACTTCTTAATACGTAAAAATAAGCAACAAACAGTTACATCCTAGGGTACAGTACAGAGACTGAGATAGGAAAACGACAAAGTAGGTGATTTTTTCAGTGTCAACCACTACTTTATGTAAATTTAAAACCTGAGGTTACAGGTGCACACAAGGCATACGTATTGATGCTTCAACCAGGTAAAAAAGTCACATACCAGGGTAATCGCAGTAGTGGATGCGTCGTTTCTCCAAATCAGGGTTACTCCTTCTATTGTATCTGACAGGCTGGATGCTTTGCGAGTTAACTGGCAGGGTGGCCGGTAAATTTGGATTGTGAATTGCCAGTTTAGAAGCAATTGTAGCAGCATAGGATGGAGGTGGGGTCAAATTCTGGAGCATCTCTGCTTGTCTATCTGGACTTCCAGGTTCTGAGCTTGGTGGTGATGGGGGAAAGTAAGTGGCCTGCTGTGGAAGAAACTGACTTGGCATTGTGTATGTGCAAGGGGGCATGCCCTGGAATTGTTTCATCGCAGTCTGCGGAACAGCAGAGGTGTGTGTGTTAAGGCCTGCCATGGCGGCTGACATAGAAACATTAAGAGTGTCCATTACTGCTGTCTGGTTTGTAGAACTGGGCATATCTAGATCCGGGGTGTTCAGTAGCTGGTACAAGTGGCCCTGCTGGGGAGGGACAGAAAGATGAAGATCTGGTGTAGGAAGTTCTTGTTTGATGAAAATATTGTTCACCTCTGGAGCTGCGGTCTGGTGGGAGCTGAATATACTGGTGAACTCAGGGAGGGCCTGGGTCGGGGCCGGAGGAGGGGCGGTCGTTTCACTCTGGTGGCTGAAAATGGTAACAGGTTCTGTCTTGATGTGTGTTACGCACGGTCTCTGGGATTTGTAGAGGCCAGTTCTCAGGTGAGTGATGTCAGGGAGGAAGACGTTCATGTTGATACTGTAAGGTAACCCTTCACTGTCAGTGAAGAACTGGTCTACGACTGAGGCACTGTCTCGTCTATACTTTTTATGCTCTGGAATTATAGAAACTGGAGGAAGCTGAGGTGTCAGATACTTCTCCATCTCACATCGTGTCTAGAAAAGAAGAGATACAAACATGCATAATCCACCTAATTCATCATCCGAGTAAGGACAAACTTAACCAAAAATCCCAACAATACCTGTGAGAAGTACTAGGGCACACTCCTTGGTGTTGCTTACAAACACATCAGGTTTGTCAGTTGTGTAAGAACTGGCTTACGGAAAGCCTCATGAAATTCTCTACAACATGTATTTGGTAAAATCGCTCCCACAATCAGCCCCGGACAATAAGTGAAAGAGGCAAATCAAGGAAAAAAAAAAAGGCAAACAGAAAACATGTTCCTTTCTAATGAATTATAAAGTGTACTTTTTTATAACTCACATACGAGCAGGGTTCCCTGCCCCATTACAATTGAGTTTGCAACTTAAGTACAGTATTGTAATATTGCCAAACCACCTCAACTCTGTTCATGCCATATTTATATTAATACAGGTATGTTTAAACAAAACCTAAGCAAACCAACCTTAAAAATAATATTGCAAAGTTCTGTTTTGTTTGGATAGATATTGTTAAAATAGCTAATATAAAACATACTCCTTGGCTATTTCAGGGCCTTTTCTCATTTATAGGTCACTGGAAACTTAAATACGAAGTCTTGAGCAAAACACCGTATCCACTGAAAGAACAAAACTTCACTTTCAACATTTGATCTAAATGTTGATTTTAATCAGCAGATTCTGTAATTGGTTAATATGATAATGAAATGTTCCTATTCATATCCCTATCTAAAACAGATCTTTAATTACCTAGGGGAAAATCACTCCCTTGGTAGAGTGGTGCTAAGGCGCCCGTGGGTGGGGAGAGGCTGCTGTATCACTAGCACAGTCATCAGCAAAACATTTATCACGTCCTCCTCAGTGGGCCAATGTTACATTCCCCCCTACTCTGTAAAAAGCTCAATCATCCCTCATCCTCTTGGTGTCTCTTAAGCAGAAAAGTGACAAACCTGAAATAACCAAACCGGTTCCAAGTGGTGATTTTTTAAGGACATAATCCAGCTTGTCTCACCCAGTCTTTTTACAGCTATCTTCTATTCTAGTATAACAAAGTTCATTTTTATTTTAATCTTTCAACATTGAAAGGTAAATTTTAAGAGAAAAAAAATCCAATTAAATGGCTCATCCAACTGAACTATTAACTATGGCATTATATACATATATATACACATACACAAATATATATATATATATATGCTACTACTTAATTTCAAAAGCGTTTCATATCGGGCTTGGTATCATTCGGTGCGGATGCAGACTGGGTTTCCCAGATACACGCGATTTAAAAATAAAAATTAACGCTCTAGTCATGTGAGTCACATCTCTGACAAATGCCACTGCCCGTTCACAGCACGACGACGCTCGCAGCCCACCCGGAGCAGGAGCTGGGCAGCAAATACGCAATATACCAAGGGGCTATTAAATGAAGCGTCTCGAAATAAACCGAACTAAACCCTTTCGTGCACTTCGCTCCCGTGGTGGTTAGTGGTTTCTGATTTTAGCTCTTCCAGCTGTTTGCATGTGGGTATGTTTCCAATTTTTTTTTTTTTTTTCCTTGGGACAGGCTAAAAGTCCCGGGAAGTTTTTTCTGGGCTATATGACTCCCTGCGTGGGCGAAAGAAACAGGCGGTTGCTCTAATTCGGCTGCCGGGCAAGTGTAAAAGCCAACTGCCAGCTTTCAACGCGGCTCCGGGAGGAAATTTACGCGCACATGAAGAAAACAACACCCCCGGTCTTTTTTGGTCTTTCTTTTTAAGGAAAAATAAGCGCTCCAATACGACCTTAGCTTTTCTAACTCTTGGTTCCCAAAGGCAGCCCCGAGATCGCCTCTAAAGCAGGCTGAGCCAAGAGACATGAAACTAGCACCCCGAGGCGCCTCTCTCCGGCACCCCGATTTGCGTTTACACCTAACCCGAGACGACGTTGGGGGGGACATCGGAGGGCAGGACACTGAGCGGGGGGGAGGGGGGCTTTAAGGTGAAAGGCAGGAGTTAAGGTTGGACGTGAGGTGCGAGGTCTCATCCCCCAAACTAAGAAACACTAAGGTGCATGTGAGCACCCGTCCCCCTCTACCCTTTCCTCGCACCGACCCGCCTGTGGAGACTCATCTGGGACACCCCTCCCTCTTCCGGTCCCCCCACTTTGTCCCTGCGGACTGTGAGTGCCCAGGCCAGGACGGCAGGGCGGGGAGGGGCTGCCCACCCAGCTCCGGCTCCCGGAGCGCCCCGACGCACGCCCCAGCCTGGAGCGGCCCCTGTCGCCCGCGCGTCGCAGCGGCGGGACACGCCCGAGCTCCGGGAGGGGGGCGGAGGGAGGGGAGCGGCTCTCCCTACCTGGACCAGCTCCTCGGGGGGCAGCCGCGGGCCCGCGGCGGGCGGCGGCGCCGGCTGCGGCGGCTGCGGGGGCGCGGACTGCGCCTGCGGGTGGTGGTGCGGGTGCTTCAGCTCCTCGCCGGGGAAGAGCGCCGCGTCGCGGGCCGGGTTCGCGGCGCCCAGCACGGGCTTGAGCTGCGCGAACACAGGCTCGTCCTGCGGGGCCGGCGGCTGGGGTACGGGTCCCAGGCGGGCGCTCATGGTCAGCACCCGCGTGGCCATTGGCACTCAAGGGGACGACTCCGGGCGCGGGACGCGGGTCGGGCGCGCTTCCCACCTCGCCCACGCTGACTCGGGCCGGCGAGCTCGGCGCGGGGCCGCGGGCGGAGAAGGGGAGGCTCCGGGCGGACCCCTTCAGCCAACAGCAGGCGCGGTTTTCGAAGGCGCGCACGAAAAGCAAAACTCTTCCGCTCCGCCACGCGTAAACGCCAACGTCCTCCAGGCGGCCACTTTCTCCCGCCCCGCCCCGCCGCGCTTTCTCACTCGCCGGAGCCCACTCCCGCCACCGCCGGTCTCCGCGAGCGAGCTGCGAGCGCGCGTACCTGCCCCGCGACTACTGACACTTGACGCCCGCCTCTATTTTACCCAACTCCGGGGGGGCGGGTCCAGCCAGCCTGATTGGCAGCGTTGTGGCGAATCCCGAAGCCTCGAGCCCGGCCGGGCCGGAGCGGCTAGCCTATGAGAAAAGGGAAGCTCGCCCAGGGCCCCGCCTTTGCCGGGTTGACCCACCCTCTCGGGCCACGAGCTTTCGCGCGCAGGGCGGCCGCGCAGTTTGTACACAACTTCTCTGACAGATTGGGCTGACTGAGCCGGGGGCGGAGGAAAGGAGAGAAGCGAGTGGAATCTAGGAAGAGAGGGAATTAGGGTGGAGACGTGGAGGGAGATCTCCTCGGACTGTTCTCTGCCAGGATTAGGGAGAAAAAGAGTTTTGCACGTCTTAGGTGTTGTGCAAGGACCTGAAACTCAAAGGCTGAAACCCAGAAGGCAGATAGGTGGGGGCGCCAAGGGTTTTAGAGACTTATTTCATGAGTGTGTATTTTTAAATATACAAAATGTACTTTTCTTTAGCGGAAAACTAGGGGCGGTGTGATAAACAAATTTAAAAACAGCCCTTGTCTCTGTGTATCTTTAGTAGTGAATATGTCCATTTAGCAAAGCAAATCCGGAATGTCCTAAATAAAAGGTGTAATGGCAAGTATTTTTTTTTTAAGCCTTTGCATAAAAGCTTGTTTTTCCCTACAGTATTTAAACGGTTAGAAGAAGTTTATACACATTTTACCTCGTATCTGTGTATGGAGAGGAGGGGGATGGGCCATAGGAATTTAGAAGTTTTTAATATTTACGCTTTTGTAAATATTCCAGCAGAAGCATGGAATCTAATTTAAGCACTAACGACTGACTAGATCAAATGTATTTAAATAGTGATTACATCTTTGACTTGTTGTTGCTAGCACTTTATGTTCAAAAAAATGCAGTTTAATATTTACCAAACAAAAACGTAGCACATTTACCTAGCACTGTGGCACCTTTTCCTACGAAGAGATAACCAAAGAAGCCACAAACATTAGACACGCAGCAGCTCTGAAAACTGGGAATCCAATTTTGTAGGAAAGTAATAGTCAAATATATTACCATCCATTAACTATATTCTAATGGGAAGGTGAAGTTTTGCCAACAATCACCTAAGGAAAACACTTTCCTAATCCTTAATGTCTTGTATGTGATTTTATCTGACTTATTGAGAAGCCGGAACAATAAACTGCAATAAAAATGCCTGGTATTTCACTACATATGTATATATGTTGACAGCACACTATGCCATGAGATAATTTTACATATACAATAGCCTACTCACACTTCACGGGATAACATTTTAAAACAAACAAACAAACAAACAAACAAACAAACAAACAAAAATCAGTTTTTAGAAAAATGTTCAAAGAGTGTACCTACTAGAAGTGTGGATCTCATTTCAATGTGTAGATTAAAAACATAATATACACATGAAATATTAGAGGAATTTATTATTAGAAAGCAAAATCACACTGTAAAATATTTTTTCTCCTTTTCATTTCCTTCTTGCTAATAAATGATTCATTTTTATGGCTGTGATCACTTCTTCCAGAGAATGGTTGACGACTACTTTCGTGTCACCAAAGTAGTATTTAACAAGTGTTTTTGCAAGTTTTTTCTAAGCAAACAGTCCCATAGTATACACCTTCACCTTTTCAAAGCTGTCCTGATTTTCTCTAATATTGAGCCCAGATATGTAATTAAATAACTTAGAAACATTACAGAATTGGTACGGGATTTAATATTACTTTTTTGAAAAATTGAAAATTGAAAGGTGTTTAGTTATAATGCTGATAACATGATCAAAACTGAGTGTGATAAAGCCTTAAGAGAACTTTCATACTCTTTTTAACTTAGGCTCAATACGATTTGGTATCTATTTATATTTTAATTTGCCTCTAAGCCTCTCTAAACATTTTCTTTTGTCTTTTTTATCAGAGCATCAGTGGCCTGTTATCTCAACCTACGTTTTCACTGCCATAAAATCCAGTTATTTTACTGGAAATGTTGGTATATCTCACACCATTTTTTAACATGCTTTCATTTACAAATGCCTTCTCAATAGCAAAACAAAACAAAACCCAGCCATTTGGTGAGCTTTTAATAAAATATTTGTGAAGTCCTGTTAATTTTTTTCACATTTCCACTTTTCGTAATGAATACAGATACAAACCTAGCTACTGTTGTGTTCACAACACACTTTTGGTAGAAAAGTGGAATACAATCTTTTTTTGTTCAACTCTAGTAGCATTTATTTAAATTTCATTTCTGACATAAGGATTCATAACATAGGGCTGCCACTTTTAAGTAATGGTTTCTCTCAAATGCCTGGCTCGGCAGTCTCACGGAAAATGACTAGCTTAGCCCTGTACAATAGCACAGAAATCAGAAAGTAATCCTTTTCTGAGACATTTGCCATGTGATTCTGAACCTATAAGGAATATGTTCAACCAAGCTACCTTGCTGTTAACACAAATGCTACCGCTGAAAACCTGGTTCATCAACCTTAGTAAAAAGGGTTAAAACTTGATAAATATTTTTCAAATGTTCCAGGTTCTACATTGGCATGACGCCAGACAGGGTGAATGGACAGATCCTCAATTACTTTGAACTTTCTAGTTCTTTGCATTCCTTCCTGCTTAGTAGTGCTGTACCATTAGGGAAGATAGGAGAAAACAAAAAACAAATGTCAGGTTTCAGAAATCAATTAGTGGCCTGGCAGTGGTATGTTAACTGAACTGTGCCAAAACAGAAAATTCTGAGGGAAAAAAATAAAGTTGAGTCGTCAAGTTAGGTAGGAGGGTAAGTGTAGAAGCAGTGTGCATGCTTAAGTCCTTAGTCACTGGGCAACACAGATTTAGTCTTAGAATAAACCATAAGTGTCACTATCTTTACGGGAATAAATACGCCTGAATGTGTGGGGGCTGAACAGGCATTCAGTGATGGGGGGGCAGGGAGGAGACTTAAAGGAGGCAGTGGAAAAACATGGATAAATAGCTTCTGAATGATGAGATGAGAGAAATATGAAGCTATCACTCGGGCAACGTTCATAAGAAGACACGGCAAAAAAAAGTATCTGTGTTCAGTTGTTCAGCCAAAATGTCAGGGAGAGCTTGAAATGAGGACAATTTTAGACATTTTATTCACTTTGGAAAATATTCATGGAATATTCCGTTTCCATAAATTCAGAATCAAATTACCAAGTGATATTGAACTACAGGAAAAGCACGAGAATGAGTAAAAAATCCTTTTTTCTAAGGGAGTATAATCTTCTCTGGGGTAAGATTATTCGATTTAAAATGACTTTCTTGATATTGATAGCCTACCAAGTGTTCGAATTTGTATCAATAGACACATAAAAAAACAAAATTATTGTCCTCTGAAACATTTCACGTTTTTAATCTTTTAATGTTTTCATTAATGGAACTGTTTTAAGCCACCCTTCAAATTAAATAAAAAGTCATTGAGAAAAGGACATGGTAGATGGCAGCTTCAACTGAGAGGAGTCAAAATTCCAACCATTTTGACTCAAAGGTTAACAGACACAAGAAAAGATGGCCTTTTCATCCCTTTTGTTGAAAAAATATGTAATTTAAATAGGATTAATATACCTTTTTTGTGTATACATAACAGGTTATCTTAAGAAAAAAGTTAATAGTCTACTTTTGCACTATCTCCCACCACAGTTCTCAAGAAATAAAATTTTATATTAAGTTTGGATTTAAGTATATTCTTTATGAACTATCTCATAAAACTCTGTGTGTACTTAATCCTAAAGGTACTGTTATTTATCTAACCTATTTTTAAAACTCTAGTAATAGACACACACACACACAAAAAAAAAACCCCAGAATTTTACCTTGTGGGAGGGACTGGGATAGCTTTTTCCACCTTGTTAGTATAATAAGCAGACAAAAATGACATAAATATAAATGCCTTGAACCAAGTTATAGGCCAGGCATACTGTAGCTCAAACTGTACAGTGTTTGAATTCTGACTCCAAACATGATAGGAAAGGTGAGAGAAAAACCCTGAACTGAGGCCATCATACCAAACAATCTTTTGGAACACTAAGGAGGCCACATCGCCAGCATCACAATGAGTGATGTTTTGAGCCAATGGCTACACATGTGCTGATGAAAGCAGTCATGGCCCTACCGTGGGGCCATGCACAGTGAATGCTCAAATGAACTGCACAGTACCATTTTGGAGGTTAATTTGTCAATGAAATGTGTAGTGCTAAGACCCATACTGGCTCTTCAGGACTTCTATCCACTGGTGATGGTCAAGTAAACTCATATAACTTTTGAGGAGGACAATTTGACAATGAGCATGAAGATGGCTAAAAACGGAACAACCTTGGGGCTCCTGGCTGGTTCAGTAGGTAGAGTGTGTGAGCCTCGATCTCGGGGTCTTGAGTTCAAGCCCTACACTGGACACAGAGCTTACTTAAATAAATAAGTAAATAAGAATGTTTTTTAAAGTGGAAATAATCTTTAAAATGACAGATAATTCCCCCTCTAGGAAATATATATTACATATTACATATATAAAAACAAATAAAATTGGAAATATCCCAAGTGACCAACACCAGGAAAATAATTCAATAATATACCCATGCAGTGACTGTTGTCCTGCTGTCAGAAATCACATTATTAAAAAATATTTATAGTAGAGAAAATCACCCCCACCACAAGTTGGTTCTTTTGGGGTGCTTGGCAGGCTCAGTAGGAAGAGCATGTGACCTTG